CTTTTTTTCTCTTTTTTTTTTTTCCACTCCTGCCTCTTTTTTTTTTTCTCTGTGTATGCATGGTAAAATTCTGTCTGATACTGTCAGTTATTGTCTTATCCTACCATTCAAAAGGATTCTAGATCAAGAACCTGTTACTTTTTTTTTTTTTTTTTTTTTCTCCTTTCTTCCTCACTTAAATTGAATTTTGATTTATAATTTTTTTTATGTTCAAGTTTATTTTTCATATTCTTATTTTATCTATTTTTTTTTTCTTTTGGTTTTTTGTATTTTTGTTAAATGTCTGTAAATTTTTTTTTACCTTCCCATTAAACCTTTTTACCGTTTAATTTTTTTTTTTTTTTATACAACTTTGTATCTGCAATTTGGATTTGTTTGAACTAAAAAGCAGACTTGTAATTTATGGTCAGTATGCAGTCTTTAATTGCTATATAAAAACCTTAGCAACCAGAATAAGCAATTTAAAATCTAATCATTAACAGGTTTCTGTAACTAGTGAATGGAAATATATATTTATTTTCCGCTGGTCTATAATAAACAGGCTTATTGCACTGAGTACAAAAGCAAGGTACTAAGTGCATACAGAAAGCTATATGACAACACATGGTTATTGTGAAAAACTCATCACTTTAGTTTTAAAAATGCCTATGGGTTAAATTGTATAAAGCTGTAAAACCCACTTCCTGTAATCTCTTGCAAAAGAGTATAAAATTTCATAGAAAAAAAAAGGTAATAGCAGTGATTTAACAAGAATTCAAAAGGTGAGCAATTCCCACTGTTCCATGTGTAGGATGGGGTAGATGTAGAACAGGATGATCACTTTTTATCCAAATCTCTTTTAGTGAAACAATCTAGCTGAATAAAGCAGTATTTGAAATTAAGTGAATTTTTAATATAAAAATTTGTGATAAGTGGTAAGAAAACTAGAAGTCTATTGCTCTATCATATAGAGGAGGCAAATAGAAATGTTTTTTCAACATCCACGGGTCTATAGCCTCGTGGATTAAAGTGTCAGTTTGTGAATTTGGTGATATGGTAATTGAGTTCAATCCCTGAGTCGGGCATTGTATACTTGGAAATGGGACAAGCAATAACTTATAACTCCTGAGGCGTTATCATTATTTACATGAGGTCTGTTGCAATCAATTTGATACTGTATTGATATTATAAACAAGATGCTCCTTCTAAATTGATAACAAATCAATATTTTTTAAGTCTGATAAATGCCACAGCATAAGGAATGTGTACAGAATCCTAATCTACAAAAATTATTTCCAAGAAAATTTTCCCTTTTTTTTTTTCTCTTTTTTTTTTCGTTTTTTTTCTCTCTTTTTTTCTCTTTTCCCTCTCTTTTTTTTCTCTTTTCCCTCTCTTTTTTTTCTCTTTTCCCTCTCTTTTTTTCTCTTTTCCCTCTCTTTTTTTCTCTTTTCACTCTCTTTTCTCTCTTTTTCTCTCTCTTCCTCTCTTTTCTCTCTCTCTTTCTTCTCTCTCTCTCTTTTCTCTCTCTCTCTCTCCTCTCTCTCTCTTCCCTCTCTCTCTCTTTCCTCTCTCTCTCTCTTTCTCTCTCTCTCTCTCCTCTCTTTCTTCTCTCTCTCTCTCTTTCTCTCTCTCTTTCCTCTCTCTCTTTCCTCTCTCTTTCCTCTCTTCCTCTCTCTTTCCTCTCTCTCTCTCTCTCCTCTTTCTCTCTCTCTTTCCTCTCTCTCTCTCTCTCTTTCCTCTCTCTTTCTTTTTTTTCACATCATCCTCCAGTAAGAATTTGCTGTGCAATCATTACAAACACTGTACATACATGACTGATATCTGAATTTAGATACAGAGTCAGTGAGCAGTATTTTGATTGAAAGCAGAAGTGCTGACCCATAAATAACCCCTTATTTTTCTTATGGGACACTGTTTCTCTTTGCACTCATGCCCTTGAAAAAAGCATGAATTCATAACTTCTCCCTTCCTCACAATAGGTTAAATATCAGGACAGTATATGCTCTTGGTCGCCAACTAGTCCAAGAGAAGGAAAATTTAAAACCGTGGAGAAGACAACAGGAAAACACATTACCATCTTGTTTCCAAGAAGTCATAACTCTTGAGATAAAGAAAAAAGGAAGCTGTGGAGAGTTACGATCATCTACAACCTTAAACAAAAAAAGCTCATACATTTTCTTTCTCCTATTGTTCACCCAAAGACTAAGAGCCACTTAAGGTAGAGGGTTACTGTGTGAAGTTATATTAGCTTACAAACGGACAAGTGTTATGAATACAGAGCTGAAATAGACTTTTAGGACCCAGAAGCCCAATCTTTAAACAAGGAATAAATCTCTACTTCAAAAGACCAGGGAGGTGTGTGAGCCAGACAATAGGCAAACCTATCGACTCCTATTAAATATATTTTGGTGATATATAGGATAAATAACATTTAACCCTAGACTTGCAGAAGTTAACATTGTAGTATTGGGGGAAGCATCCTCTCATGACAGCTCTGTAGAAAACACTGATTGGAACTTTGTTCTTAACAATGGAATGTGAAGAGAATGAGAGTGATTTGACCTTGTGTACATGGCTTGGTGTGTCCGAGTTAGGTGTAAACTAGCAGAACTAAGAATTGTAGCTTGTCTGAACATTTAGCAAAAGGCTAGCAACATTTCATTTGTGGGGAAAAGGAGTTGCAGGGTTGGAAATAATTCATCACCCACAAGGCTTTTCTATAAATGCTTTCCTAGTACCTTTTCAAGAAATACTTTCATGGTAATTGTTCAGAATAACTCTTCACTATGGTACCTAGACTTTATGAATTTAAGTACAGTAATAGATGGATGGCAAACTCTCATTATTTTTCAGTTGAAAAGGCTAAATGTAACTAAGTTCTATGCTAACAGTTTCTTCTAAGGCACTTCTGGCTTGCTTTCTAGTGAACTTGGATCTTCAAAAATTTAAATACAGCGTCAATTGTTATCTTCTGTCTTATTAATTCTTTTTATTTTATTGTCCTCTCTCCTTAATAGTAGTTTTTTTCTCATATTTGCTAACACTCAATAACCTCTTGTATCCTAGTGGCTTTATTGCCTTGCTTGGGGTGAAATGATTAAAAAAACAAATTCTGTGTAAATGCTTTTGAACTTTATCAAAGCTTGAGGACTGAGCAACTTCAACCAAGATATTTTTTTGTGTGTGTCTGTGTGCTTGATCTAGTTTTTATAATGATAGGGGAATGGGGACTTTCTGGAGTGTTACAAGGAACTAACCATTTTTGCCAACATTTTTAGTGATAATACAAATATAAGAGTCTCATTTAAAAACAGATTGGTTTCAACAAATCTGAATTGCAGTTTTTGTGTTTTTAATTTGTGTTCCTTTTCAGTTTTTATGAATGTTATGTAATTTTATTATGCTCCTTGAGTGTGTCAACAATTTTTTTATACCTCATTTCCAAAGTTTTCTTTACCTCATGTTTTGTTTCTTGTTTTATTTTTCTTTCTTATAAGACTGCTAAGAATTTGGTGAGTATACTTCCTTTGTGAATGGTAAGTGGTTTGCTGTTCTGCAAAACCCCAACCCTGATCATTCACTGAGTTTTAATTTTTTTTTCTCCCTCCTGACTGGGTTTGCTATCAGCATTGTCTAAACTCTCACATCGAATGCTCAATGGTGTTTGTTTGAATGTTGCTGCAGTTACCTCCCCTTGATTCTCTGACTGGTGGCCATCTTGGAAACGGCCAAGGCTAAAAAAAAATTCTAATTGGCTTTTTTCTCTTCATTTTAACCAAATTATCACCAACTTACTTTCATCATTGAAAGAACATCATTTTTATTCATAAGATTCATTCTCATCACCATTTCTTTTAATTTTTTTTAAAAATTTAGTTGTTGAGATAGAAAAAGTATTATTTTCATTTTTTTTTTTTTTGTAACAGCTTCATCCCCCTACACTCAAAAGAAAAATTAAAAATATAAGTACTTAGATTATTTTTGATCCATTTATAATTCTTTTTTTTTCTTTTTTTTTTCTGGAACTTAAAATAATTACATTTTATGAACAGTGGTTTTGGAAAGATTTTTTTAATCCTTTTTATATTAACAATTTCATGTGACTCCTTTTACATTTGTATCAACTGGTTGAAAATATCTTTTTCATATAAATTTCATTTCTGTAAATATTAACTTTATTTCTGATATTTCAGTGTTCTTCATTTGCCTGTCATACATTTGAAGTTATTTTATATATCTCTTTTGAAAGAAGTCAAGTCATCTTTGTTTATTTTTTTCTTGATTATGTCAAAGATATTTTTTTAAATTATTATTGTGGGTTGTTTGTGAAGTACTTGTGCAGTGAGAAAATATCTTCTGTTTCAACACTGGTTTCAAATAAGTTCAAATATTTATTAATTTCCATATTTTAAAATTATTTCATAACAAACTAGATAACCTGAATTAGAAAACAATTTTACCTTAATAATGATAAATATTTTCAGAGAATGTAAAAAAAAAACTGATCATGATGAGATGTTTAGGGAAAAAACTTAATCAAAATATCATTGATTTACATAGTTTTCTTTCGCCACTCAACTTTTGGCTTTTTATATATATATATATATATATATATATAATATATTGTGTATTTAGGCAGCTGTCCCTCTCATACATGTTTCATTAAAACAGACAAAGTACTGTGATTAAGCTTTTTATTTAATTTTTCTTGTGTTCGAACAAGTGTTTTCTTTTCTGGACCTTATGTATAGAAACTTTCCAAATGTTTTGTAATTCTGAGCGCTTTTGTCTATACTTTTAGCAATTATCAAGTATGGTTTTATTTTTACTTTTTAAGTGGACGTATGGGTTGTGTGTATGTATCTAGAGTTAGAGGAATGTTTTATTTTCCGAACACAGCGTGTTGTGGCTGTGTTTGTAGTTAATATTATTGAGTGTTGATAACAGCTAAAAGTATAGCCAAAAGCATGTAGAATTATAGAACATTTGGACAGTTTCTACACACTCTGTATTATGAAAATTTCTAAGTGTAAAAATCTATGGTGTAATTAGGACATAAATTATAAGAATTAGGTACTTCTAATAATGGTTCATTGCAGTTTCTTTATATTCAAAGCTTTAAATAGAAAAATAGACCTAGAGAAAGTCTTTATTTTTTGTAAGAGACTAAATTGGTAAAAAAAAAAAAAAATACTGAAAGTGCCTGTTTGCTATCTAGATTTTTGTATTTCTCCTTAGTAGGAGAAAGCCTTAAGATAATTTAGCTGTACATTTATTTGGTAAGATAAAATATCATGTGACTTTATATGTTCATCAGTTATGCAATCTGAGCTTAATTTTTAATAATAAAATATTCTGAGGTTTATAGGAACAAGAGGGTATTACACAACATCAATCAGTGAATGTTATTAGTAAGTGAAGAGACCAGGCTGCTAATACATTGTTTTTATTTTTATTGTTTTCTTTAGTTATGATTTTAATGATTTAAAACCAAAATTCTTTGTATCATTAGTTAATTAAGCTAAAGAGCCAAGATGACTATAAAAATATAGCCAATGCAATTGCAAAATAATTTAAGTGTTGTCATCATTATTTTTATTGTATGGTTAAGCTAGTCATAATTTGTTTCATTTTCTCATGCAAGGTTTTATTTTTCTGACAACAATGAGTTCATTTTAATGTTTCTTATTTTTAAAATATTATTATTGTTAAATGCAAAAGATTGTACCTTCCAATGTTTTTTTTTTTTTTTCATTTTATTTTTTCACTGTTCAATGACTTTATATACACCCATTACATTATGTGTTGAGAAGTTGCTATTTAACAATTTTGAGTCCTTTTTCTCTTAAAAGGAAGTGTATTGATCCTCATGTTGTTTCTGATACAAAAAAAATGTTTCTTTGAATGTGTGTGCGTGTGAGTCTGTGTGTATGTCTATCTGAAGACTAGTATACTTGTTACTGCTCTGTTAGTATGCAAAGGAATTAGTTGTTAGTGCATTACCTTGCTTTGTAAGCATGTCTCTTAACCCAGGTGTCTTCCCTCCTTTCGTATGCACATAATTTATGGAAGTTGTTGACAAGATGGGTACAAAAGTAGTTGTTAAATCTTGAGTTTATCTGACTGTAAATGCAATATTGTGTGAATGGGGAAATAATGGATTTAATCAAATGAAGTGTCTACTGAGAATAAGTTCCGATAGATAATATGGTACAAAAAGTCTTTGATAATCTTCTCTTTTTTTTCTTTTTTATCTTACTGGTGGAGTTGTGCAATAGTCTCTCCAACAAGAAAATCTTATATATATATATATATATTATATATATATATTATTTATATTATATATATTATATTATATTATATATATATATATATATATATATATATATATATATTTATATTATTTATATTATATATATTATATTATATATATATATTATATTATATTATATATATATTATTTATATTATTTATATTATATATATATATTATTTATATTATATATATTATATATATATATATTATATTATATTATATTATATTATATATATATATATATATATTATATATATATATATATATATATATATATATATATATATATATATATATATATATATATATATATATATATATATATATATATATATATATATATATATTAATATATATATATATATATATATATATATATTATATTATATATATTATAATATATGGATTAAAATTTTTTATAAAAAATTTTAAATTTATATTTTATTAAATTTTTTAAA